CCCCGTGCCGGTCCTGAGCAGGAGCGCGCATTTCCTTGGCTAAAAACAACATGAGTTTTAAAAGAAATCAGTCTAGTTGTGCGTAGAGTGACGTGACCGCAGGTCGCGTTTTTAGAGCGTGTTTGTGTTGTGGATTAAGCACCCGCCTGCATGTCCCCCCAGACTTGGTGCTTCACGGAGACTTCTCCCAGAGCTGGGTGCTTTCCCCGCTCCTGGTTGCGTCCAGCATTGATGCTCTGGCATCCCTTTTTGGGCAGAAATAGCCTGAGTCATGTGCAGGTGATGTTTGTGCTCACGACCAAGTGCCTTGGTCCTTGCCCAGAACCTGCAGCACCGACGATGCCGTTGTCTTCTCTGCTGTCGTCGGCACGTGGTGCTTGGGTGGGCTCGGGCCCCGGTAGTCAGAGCTCGCTGCCCTGCCTGCGGGAGCCGGAGGGCAGAGGCTGCCTCATGGCGCGGGAGCTGCCCCGCTGCTCCCGAGGTGCCGCATCCATCGCTGCAGCCGCTGTGTTTCAGCCGGGGAAACGGTTGATGCCTTCGGTGATCTGGCTCAGAGAACCCGCCGAGAGGTGTGAAAGCACCGGTGCTGTCGCTGCTCTGGGTTTTCTGCCTGGCTGGGATGAGACACTCTTTATAGCTAGAAAACACAGCCAAATATGGATTATTTTCTCTCTCTCTTGATCGCTGCAGCAAACTTGGTGTTGCACCAGACTGTGGAGCGCATCCATGTGGGCAAGAAGTATGGGGACATCCCTCGAGGCATCTTTGTTGTGAGAGGCGAGAACGTTGTTCTGCTGGGGGAAATAGTAAGTAAGCGGCTCCTTCTGCCTGCTCTCTGCCTGCTCTCTGCCGGCCCGGGGCAGCGGCTCCGCTGTGGTCTGGGACTGAGCTGGTGGTGTTTGCGGTGACGTGACTCCAAGCAGCACTGCCGAGGCGGACGCTGGAGCTGGGTGTCCATCTGCCTGCTGTGAAATACGGTCACTGTCCCGTTGGGGGGGCTGAAATTTGAGCCCCCTCCCGGGGCTGGTTCAGGCTGAACCATCATGAAAATGCCCCGTGTATCCGAGAGCGGGGGGCAGAGGTGCCGTCCCGCAGCTGCAGCTCCTCTGGGATGACGTGAGTGGTAAAGAGCAGCATGTGGAGGGAGATGTGGGGAAGCCCTGGCCTGTGTGTGGCATTGCTAGAGGGTGTCATTAGTGGCTGCCTGTGGGGCTGTCACCTCCCTGCTGGCTTGGCACCAGGGGACACCATCTGGGATGGGCTCGGGAGGAGTCGAGCGCCGTCTCACTCCCTGTTTGCTTCAGCCCTTTGGGCTGAGCTCAGCCCGGCTGCTCCCCGGGAGCCCCCTCCCATGGACAGCTGTCCCTGCTGTCCCTGGCTGTCCTGGGGGTCCCTGCCCGCATCCCCACCCATCGTGCACCTCTGTTTTGCATCGCCTCCGCCTTTTGGCGGGAGTCGTGGAAGATGCGTGGGCACTGCGGTCCATGGGCCCTCGCCTGGAGGAGACTGTCCTGCACACACAAATCTGTGACCGTGACCCAGGGGGAACCTGAGCATTTACAAGGCCAAATCCCCGGGCTGCCTTCGAGCTGGTAAGCCCAGAGCTTGGGAGGCAGACCCTGCCGCAGGTCGGCTGCTCACCTCAGGAACTGTCTTGCTCCAGCAACTTTGGCAAGAGCGATGGAGCACATCGTCCGTGGCGCAGCGGTGCCCGCTCTCCCTGGGAGCACAGAGCCTGGCCAGGCACTTGTAGGAAGCGCTCGGACGTCACCGAAG